GTGGATCTAAAATAATAGTATTATTGTTGGATTCAATTTAAGGATCAACACGAGGAAATATTATTTAACTTGGGAAATTTTTTTTTTAAACAAACAACATACCTTTATAAGAGACAAACTTGTTAAGTATAATAAATGTGAGTAGTGTGAACAATAGTTTCACATTGCAACTGTAAAAACTGTTGTGTGTTTCTTACTCACCATCATTGTACCTCCGTTGACATTCTTCAACGGAACATCTCCTAACCACCACCTGTGGGAATCTGATACCACTGTTAGGGGAAATTTTTCAACTAGGGAGCATTGAATATTGTGAGATTATTCTTTCTAGAGCAACACCTTTGCGAGAGACACATATTCACCTAAAACCTTAACGTGATAGGTGTGTGACTTCTCCCACTTATAAATGCTCAAGTCACCGCATAATGTTCAATGCTCCCTAGTTGAAAAATCTCCCCTAATAACACTGCGTACTCACGCAAAATCTTAAGGTAATAGTATGAGTTCTCCCACCTATACATACTTGTTGGAATTCAACCACAACCTATGGGGAATTCCTATTCAATCTTGATCTCAAGATTGTTATCAACCGCACAATGACAATGAAAAAATTGAGAAAGAAAGAAAGAAAAGAACGTTGGAAAAGAAGATAAAAAATTCTACAGAGAGAAACTCTGCCCACAAACTGTGAAAACTTCTTTATTCTCTTGCAACTGCAAACTGTGAATACAATATTATGAGTTTTATTTTCAAAAATAAGGGTTACTCCCTATTTATAAATTTAGGTTAGCTTGCACCCCAAGGCAAAGCGCAAAACTAAAAAAGCCCAAAATATCTAACATTACTAAAATAAGCCTAAGTTAAAATCCTGTGTGAAGCAACCTGCTTCGACACTTCGACACACTACTACAACTCGACACACACATATTAGACTATTTGACTAGATCTTATTTCTTTCGAGCTACACTGCTTTAACACAAGGAATTACAACTCAACACAATACCTAATTCATTGTGTCTAAGCTATCTACATTCATCATATACCTTAAATTAATGAACACTTCGACCTGCACCCCCTTCGCCATGATATCTGTAATCTGATTCTCAGTTATGTAGTGTTCCAAGTTCATCTTCCCTTCTGCTACATGCTCTCTAAGATAATGGAACCTCATTTCGATGTGCTTGCTTCGACCATGTGCTATTGGATTCTTCGCCAGGTTGATAGCTGACACGTTGTCGATCTTCATGGTAATTGCTCCATGACTCTTCGCTGTAATCTCTTCGACCAAGTTCACCATCCATGTTGCTTGACATGCACAAAGAGAAACAACTATGTATTCTGCTTCGCATGACGACAATACCACTACTGGCTCTTTTCTCGAACTCTAAGCAACTGGTGCACCACCTAGCATAAACACATAGCCAGCCGTGGATTTTCTATCCTCAACATCACCAAACCAATTTGAATCAGTGTATCCCATTATCTTGCATTCTTTTCCTTAATCAGCTGAAGGAAACAAAATGTCACAGTCAAGAGTTCCTTTCAGATACCTCAATATCCTCTTCGTTGCTGCTAGGTGTGATACCTTTGGCTTATGCATGAATCTACTTACCATATCCACACTGTATGCTAAGCCAGGTCTTGTATGACAAAGGTATCGAAGTGACCCAATAAGTCTTCTATATTGGATTGTGTCGACGCCATCTTGATCTGAATCCTTCGACAGTTGCAATCTGGTCTCAGCTGGAGTCGAAGTTGGGTTGTAATCTTGCATCTCAAATCTCTTAAGTATTTCGCCTGCATATCTTCTTTGGTGCATCATCAAACCTCTATTACTCTGTAGAATTCAATGTCTAGGAAATATGATAGATTTCCCAAATCTGACATTTCAAGCTCCTCACTTAGGTCATGTTTGAAATCTTCAATCTCCTTCTTGCAACTTTCTGTTATCAACAGGTCATCGGCATAGAGACATAGTATAAGCAATTCACTATTGCTTCTTCTTACATATACTCCATGCTCAGTTGTGCACTTCACAAATTTCTTCTCCCTTAGAAAGATGTCGATCTTCTTATTCCAAGCTCTTGGAGCTTGCTTAAGTCCACACAGGGCTTTATGCAACATGTACACCTTTTTTTCTTCACCTTGTTTCACAAATCCAGCTGGTTGTGCAACATAAACTTCTTCTTCTAAGAGGCCATTCAGGAATGCACATTTCACATCCATCTGACATGTGTGCCAATGTTCATGTTTGCTAGACCAACAACCAACCTGATTGTTTCGATTCTAGCAACAGGTGCAAAAACTTCGTCGAAGTCGATTCCTTCCTTATGAAGAAATCCTTTCGCTACAAGTCTAGCCTTGTGTCGAGTTACTTCTCCTTTAGGATTCAACTTCACCTTGTAAACCAATTTCACATCAATTGTCTTCTTGCCTTGAGACAATTCGACAAGTGACCAAGTGTTGTTGACTTCGATGGAACCTAAATCCCCATTCACTGCTTTCACCCACTTCGAATCTTTCAATGCTTCAGTTGCATTGACTGGTTCGACATCTGCGTAGAAAGCATAATGTACCAACTCACCTTCTTCATCGACCACATCATCTGGTGTAATCACACATTCTTGCAACCTTGCAGGCACGTGTCTTGTTCGCTGAGATTTGCTTGGGCCTGCTTCACCTCTAACTTCTTCTTGTCGAGCTTCTCTTTCGAATTCACTAGCTGGTTCTTCACATAAGATTCTCACTGAATCCTTCTTAACATTCTCAGTCTAATCCCATTCCTTAAACTCATCTATGATCACGTCCCTGCTTATCACTACTGCGAGGGCAAGGTTCCTTAGTCCTTGTTTTTATGATGTCAAAACTAGTAATATCTCGTATTTGTGTACTTTAGACGGTGTCGTCGCATCTTAGATTTCATTCATTCTCAATATAATAATCCACACAAGGTGTGTCTATGCATATAGTATCATCCCATATATGGAAATTATGCATGGGATCATGTTGGATATCTTAGGTAAACTCAAAAAGGGCTTAAGGTCGACTCAAATACTTACAAAAATATATTTATAGCATTATGGTGTCTATGCGTTTGACTCACAGAGGTGTGGAGGTCGACGCATGCTGTTGCATAAATCAATTGTTGCTCTCAGGTGTCCTTGCGTCGATCCACAGATGTGTGGAGGTCGACGCATACTGTAAGAAAAATAATCCTTTGCTCTCAGGTGCCTATGCGTCGACGCATGGCTTGGTTCAGGTCGACGCATGATGTAATTTTTTGCGCAGATTTGCTTTCGGGTGTACTCAGGTCGACTCTTGGAATGCTGAGCTCGACCTCTCGCTCACTTAAAAACATTTTTCTGATTCTTTGTGTTTCAAAAAGTTGTCAATTTAGTTTTGTGGTCTTGGTGTTATATATATGTATCATCTTTTGTACAACATAAAACAAGAAAAGTTAAAATATACATTGAGTTTGCTCATAATCTTCATTCTCACACTTGCATTCTTCAACAACTACACATAATCATTTTTGTTGATCTGTGCATTGTCGAGGTGATAACGTCTAAACTTAGGATTTATATATCGTTGTTTGGGTTGAGAATTCAGTGGGTTTTTCTTGAATAAAATCTTTGGGGTTTTGTCCTCCAAGTTCTTAAAGATTTGGGGTTATTTGCACAAATCTTTGCTTCACAGATTCAGTCGAGTGAAAGGTTTGAAGAACACTGGCTTCGTTCAAACATGTAGCGGTAACCGGAGGACTCTGTCGAAAAATTTGGGATCGAACGTCTTGGGACCAGAATCAACCGAATGAAAAATTTGAAGAACAGTGGATTCATTCAAACAAGTAGTGGTAATTAGAGATTTAATCGAAGAGTTTAATATTCTTGATTCGGCTGAAATCAAGAAGAAAAAAAAGATAGAATCAATATCAACAATTGAATTTGAGCGCGTGGTAGCTAAAACTTTTTAACATGCAGATACATACAATTGAATTTGAGCGTGTGGTGGCTAAAACTTTTGCAGATACATACCACCCTATAAATGAAATAGTGCAACAACAGCCGCTATAAAATTTGTATTGGTTTTCATTTTTACTTCACATTAACTAATTAAAAATTCAATAGCACATATACATGATACTTCACATTAACTAATTATAAATGCAACAGCAGCAGCCACATATACATGATACTCCTACTTAACATATTAAAATTTCAATAGTTTATACATGTGGTTTTTAGCATCATGTCTTGATGCAGCATTGATACAAATTCTAAAACTATTAAAAATCATTAAAACATATGGTTTACATTGCATTACATTAGGTATGTCATCAAAGAAACCATTTATGTTTTGCTTCTTACTATCTTATTTTATTTGTTTTTCAAAATGCAATTTTTTTATCTATAACTCTAATATATCACTAATTCACCATTCATCAAACAGTTTCTTTTGTAGGTTATGTCATTTCTAGATTAGTCCTATCAATTTCTCAAGTACCATTTGTTTCTTCACAATTATTAGAACTTCACTTTTTTTATTTTCTTTCTTGGACACTTTATGATTTTGTTATTCAAAGTGTTTTATTTAAAGAGTTTTCCGAAAATGCAACTCCAAACGTGAGTTATTCATATACCCGCGTCAAACCCTTTCCCATTCCTTATTCATTTGCTGCAAACTCATTAAAATCCCATTTGATCTCGTGAACAAGTTTCTTCAAGTTTATTACACTACATTTACTTTTTCAAGTTCATTCTACTTCAATATTGATGCGATTTCACCACTCAAAGCATGTTATCATGTCAATGTGGCCCAATTTTCTGAAGAAATAAACATACTCTTGTTCTAAATTACGTTTAGGAGATGAAATTTAGCAATAATATAACACCAAAAGATACATATAAACATACTACACCTAACAAAATGACAGATAATGAAGGTATCTAACATCACCAATTTCTTTTCTAGTCAGATGAAGAGTTCATCACTTGACACTATTATTTCAAAGGACCCTTGTTTTCCTTGTCAACCATCTTCTCTGCTATGCCAGCATCACTCTTGTTAGAGTACAGATATGGAACCAATTTTCCTATTCCTATCGCAGCATCCTTCAAGCCAGATAATGAAGGTGTCCAATTCTTCAAACCTTCACATGAAGTCTTGTCTGAATCATTGCTCACTCGAATTTCACTACTCGAAACAAAGTTGCCCTTTTCTTCATTATTTCCATGACTCATAACCGGTGAAACAAAAGGCAGATTCAACATAGGAGAAGCCTTTTTTACCACAGCAAAACCGGTGTCCTTGAAGCTTGATAATGGAGACATCCAACTCTGCAATGATACATATGGTGTCTTGTTATCGTAATCATTGCTCGCCTGAGATTCACTATTTGAAAGCATTACAGATTTAATACTATTCCATTTCCATGCAAATTCTTCTTTTTCTCTTATATTAGCGAAACAAATGGGAAGTGACGTTAAAGGATTTAATCTTTTTGTTACTTCCCAAGACGTTTCCGTGTATAAAGATCTAATTTTCCTGCTCATGAGGTTACTTTCCTGGATTGCTTGCTGCAAATCTGCATCACTTGGCCACCATTGTTCCAAGCCATGAGTTGTCAGAAATTTTTGTTGTTCTTTGGAAACAACACACAACTTTGAAGTTATTCTCGCATTTGCACAATCCACATTCTCCTTCTTGTGAACCTCCTTCTCCTCAATGCCACAGTTCTTGTTAACATACCGATGAGGAACACAATTCCACACCCAATAAGCAGCAAGTGAAATAAAAGCAAGATTTGATCCTTTTGTCACTTCCCAGAGTGTACCGATGTATAGAGATTTCACTTTCCTGCTTACGAGTTTTCCATCACAGATAGTTTTCTGAAGTTCTACAGCATTTGACCACCATTGTTCTAGGCCATGAGCTGCAAGAAATTTCAGTTGTTCCTTTGAGAAAATAAGCAATTTCGGAGTAATTTGGCCGTCTTCAAGATCCCTATTCTCCTTTCCAACCATCTTCTCTTTGGCGCCAACATACATGCGAGGAATCCATTTGCACACCCAATAGCCGGTATCCTTCAAGCCAGATAATGAAGGTATCAAACCCACCAAATCTATACCTGAACTCACTTCTCCATCGTTGTTGATTTGAGCTTTAGAACTTATACGACTAAGCACGCATTTAAGTATACTCCAAACATAATCCGAAGCTTCTCTAATATTTATGCAACTAGTGGCTAATGAAACATATTGTGGATAATAGAAAAGTACTACCTGAGAAAGTGTACCACTGTTCAAAGATTTAAGTTGCATGCTTGTGACTTTGTTATCGTGGTTACCGTCATTTGACCACCATTGTTTCAGGCCATGAGCCTCACGAAACTTCTGGTCTTCCATTGAGACAACAAACAACTTGGCTTCATTTTGCTCAACTGTAGGATCTACATTCTCCACATTGCCGATCTCCTCTTTTGTTCCATGGGTATGAATATAAAAGTAACTGATCCAATCATTCTTGTTAACATAAATATGAGGAACCCATCTTCTTCTTCCTAAACCAGAGTCCATAAAGCACGATAACCGAGATATCATCTTCTTCAATCGTATAATGTAAGTCTCGTCCACACTGTTGCTGACTTGCGCCTCGTCCACACTGTTGCTGACTTGCGCCTCGGTACCTGAAGGAAGCATATCTTTGATTCCACTCCAAACATACTCAGCCATTTCTCCAATATTTCCAAGACTAATAGCAAGTGAAACCGCTGGAGGATTAAATACATGAGTTTCCACATTAATTCTTTCCTTTGCCAATTCCTTTCCCACCTGAAGACCCAATCCAGCGCCTAAAGAATGTCCAGCAATGCAAACATTTCTGCATCCATAGGTTTTAGAAACCGATTTTACCGCATCCGTAGCTACTTTAAACCTCACAGAGTCTTTCAAGCTTTCCCAAGCAGCAAAACGGAAATCATCTACAAAATCTCTTCGCACTGTAGGGACTCTTATCAATGTTCCTCTAAGTGCTAAAACGGCTCTCGGGGCACCGATTGGTTTAAATGGCTTGAACCGATCCCACTCAAATATTGCACCAAAAATGGATCCATCTCTTTGATCAATCAATATTTGTGTAGGCTTATAGTTCAAGGGAATCCAAAATTCCGAAGCTAGAGAATTATCTTGAGTTCTGTTCTCTTGTCTATCGAGCTCGAGCAAGTACGCTGCCTGTACAAGGCTTGCAATGGCTCTTCGTTTATAATTTGCGTCCTTCCTGTTTACAACAATATAATCATCAACAACCATTGCTTGAAAACTCACTGTATAATAAGTTTTTTTTTACCCAAACTTGTTCTAAAACAGGAACAGTCCTTTTCCTTCTGTGACAAACAGTAGATTAAAAAAAGCATGCAAACCCATTTGATAAAGTTTTATACACATTTGATACAAACAACTCATAAATAATGGCAACATGATAAAGAAGTTGAAGAAGAAATCATATGCATGTAATGAAACTAATGTTAGTATGGTATGATTCTAACGTTCTAAAGGTACTTTACCATTGAGAATTGATCAAGTTCCTCCAGTCAAAGCTACGAGGAGGATCAACCTGGTTTGCCATGAATCAATGTAGCAAAAATTTCCAATTTCCTATGCGATGAGTGACTATATACTGAACAAACTTCCTTCGATTAAAAAGAGTATTTCTTTGAGGAAACTGTTAAGAATATTTCCAGCTGCAAGTTATTATGCATTAGGTTATTAATTAATTAATACTTAATTAATTAATACAGTCTTATTTTTTTTTTAAATTAGAAGTAGTCAAAGTCGCGCAAGAATAATTAAGAATATTTAGAACGGTGTACCTTATAAGATTGAAGAGACGGTTGTCGAAACGTGTGAGTATGAGAGAATTACTACCCTCATTGCCGTTTAGGATTTTCAGAGTAGTTTAATTGTCTAATGGGGAGACACTTAAATAGCTAAAAGGCAGAGACCTCTCATTGGGCTTAACTGAATGGTCCAACCCATTACGGTCCATTCAGACACAAAACCCAATCAAACAATTCATTTATTTAGTGTTTAATAATAATAGACTATAATATAATTAATTAATAATTAATTATATCAATCCATATTTGATTAATTAAATAATTAATCTAACAATCTCCCACTTGGATGACAATAATTAATTATTAAAAATATTGATTCTAGTATTAGAATATCAATAATGGTCAAAACATCAATCAATCAAAAGAAGTAAATTTCAACGCTGCAAAAATTGTATCCGATAGAGAAGAAAAATCATACATGTTAAAACTCACAAATTTATATAAAAAATGATGACTTTAGAGTAACATATTTAACTTCAGAGTAATATGTTATAAAGAATGACCCAAGCATATGAAAATGCTATTGATAAATTCCCACTAACCCAAAGTATCATAAGACTTACCCATGTGTATAAGTCTATGGTTAGTGATTATACTAATGAGTTTTAAATTATAGGTCATAGAATATCCACATAGGTCTAAGAATAGTAATTACATATAGGAATACCCTATTAACAGAGTAATTACATTTAATTATAAGTACATTCATAACACAATATCATACTCGATAGGAGTATTGATATTTACTTGTACTTTCATATTATGACTTGACAAATGTGGACTATTGAAGATATAATAACACAATATTATTGCACGATAAAGAATTATTGTGTCTTTTCAATATCAACCTAAACATCAAATTATGATGTTTCTTGAGATTAAGAGAATAATATATATCTCAGTATAACAAAATAAGACTTCTTATAATTATTTTATATTTTGAAGTCCTTTTAGAATATGTCATATTTACAGTGCGCGCAAGAATATATGACACTATGAGAATAATAATCCAAAATTTTAGATTATATGATTGTGTTCACATGCAATCCACTGCCACTAATCCAATATGATAAGGATTGATCAGAGGTCACTAATTAAATACTCTGATTGAACAACGGGGGTGCTAATGTTATTTTTAGTGCAAAATTATACAGAGAAGTGGTTCTATAATATATCATCAAACTCAACCACATATATTTTGCACGTCAATAGAATATATCTTTATTTAAATAATTTACATGAAAGAATATGATGTTCCTATAAAAGATTTACTATCTTTTGAATGAGATCAAATTCATAACTCGCTCAAAACTCAAATGCTATAAGTATAACTACACACATTTGAGAAACATATTACGTTATACGTAGCGGAAAAATATGAGACTTTAATCAAATTTAATAATGAGGATATAGCATAAGACTAAAATATCCTCAATATAAGTCTTTATAAAATAATATTATATATTAAACAAATAATATTTGTTTCTGAAATCTATATAATTGACATGTTAAATTCTCCCACTTGATAGAGAATAATAGTTGAATTATTAATATTAGAATTTTAAAATATTTAAACAAATATCCAACTATTTTCTGTATCACACAATAATCATTCAGGCAACATCACACCGATAGAGTATATCCATCACTCACATAATACATAGAGAATTGAAATCCATTTTAATAAAAAAAAAATTATTGGATTTCATAAAGTATTACATGTCTTCAATTTTTTTTTCTTCTTAAATAATACTTTCAACAATATGAAATAAGAAATATAACAATGTATAAATATTATGTCATCAAAAATTCTAATACCGATAGGGTACTTGAACTATAATTTACACAATCATAAATCATAAGTGCATTAAACAAAACAAATTATACTAATAATAATATACCGTAGGGTATAATTATTATCAATATAATATTTATTATAACTAAAATTAATTTAACAAAATTTGAATAACTGTACCACGATAGGTGAGTTACAATCATGCAAATTAAGATTAATTATATTTTATTCAAAATAGGAAAATTTATATAATTGTATCCACGATAGATGAAATTACAATTATACAAATTAATATTGATTACTTAATTTTCCATAATAAAAATCATAAAATAATAAGATTTCAATATATATATATATATATATATATATATATATATATATATATATATATATATATATATATATATATATATATATATATATATATATATATATATATATATATATATATATATATATATATATATATATATATATATATATATATATATATATATATATATATATATATATATATATATATAATTGCATAGTTTTAATTTCAAAAGGAAGTGAATAATATTTTAAGAAATTCCTCCTTGTATGCAATTATTATATAATAGTCACAAGAGATTCAAAATTAATAAATAACCAAATACAATTAACCTCGAAGAGAATGTGATATTTATCCTTGTGAGTAGAGGTATTAAACTTTAATGACTTTTAGAATATTATAGTATCATCTCAAAATGATTCCTAAACAAAGAATAAATCGTTGTATCAAAATATAAAACTCTATTTATAAATAATCATAATTCAAGGATAATACAATTTAATTTTATTAAAGAATATCTCAAAATCATTATATATGAAAATTTTAAATATATTTAAAATTTGAATTAAATCAATTATTTTATAACATATTATATTTAAATATTGGAATATACCAAAACATCAAAATAAATAGAATATCTAATACTATTTATTTGGCATCAACTTAGGAGAGAGTTGTTGAAGTTTATATAGAAACAAGATTATAGGCCAATATCATATTCACTAACATAAAAGAACATAAAAAAAAATTTATATTAAAATCAAAAACAATTCTTTACGTCTTAATTAATTAATTAATTATTAAAATTAATATAAATAAAAATTAATATAAATATAGTATCATGTCAGTATAAATTTATCCCACTATGCCAAAAAAGACCTTTAGCAGCGTTTTTTTTTGCCTTTAGCAGCGCTTAAAAGCGCTGCCTAAAGTGGCGCTGCTAAAGGTAAAGACATCACTTTTTTTTTGCCTTTAGCAGCGCTTTCATAAGCGCTGCCTAATCCCCCTTCACCTCCCCCCTTTAGCAGCGCTTTTTAAAAGCGCTTTCTTAGACCCCCCGCTTTAGCAGCGCTTTTTTAAAGCGTTGTCTTAGACCCCCCTTTAGCAGCGCTTTTTTAAAGCGCTTTCTTAGACCCTCCTTTTCCAACCTATAACAACACATTTTTATGCCTCTTTTTGCCCCTTTAGCAGCGCTTTTTTTAAAAGCGCTGTCTATTCTTCACGATTTTGAATTTTTTTTTAAATAATCACATTTTTTATATATTTTTCAATAAACCTGCTTATAACAAATACATTCCCTGCTTATAATTCAGGTCTTTAGTTCAACAGTTTGGCCTTATATATAACAATTATTTTGGCCTTATTTTTGTGTATTCATCACTTTGCAATATTATACACAATAACTAAAGTATACATTATAATTCATCACTTTGAAATATTATACACATAAACCTGCTTAAATATATTACAACACAGTCCGATCCTCAGAACAAAATCACATATACAATCAATTTACATATAATTACAAATCCGATAACTTTACAAATAGATACATTATAGAATTCTCAACTCAAGAATAAATTGACACCATTCCTCCTTAATTTCTTCCAATCTTGCTTTCGAGTAAGTACCGCACTTGAAATCATCAAAATACTACATAATATAACAAAACATGCACGATTTAATTTTAAAACTAATTACTCAGATAAAATATCGGTTAATTATCAAAATGAATCATATAACTTATGAATTGATCCATACCATGATTGGAATCTCTATTTGACCAGAAAGAATAATTTCCTTCATAAAGCGCAATACAAAATATCCGCAGTCAATTCCATTGCGCTGACGAGGACACTGTTAATGGAAAAAACAAACGAACATTTGCTCCAAGTCAGCATATTCTGCTTCATGAACATTATTCCATCCAACTCTATCCCCCTCTTTAAGAACATTATTTAGCCACCAATGACACCCTAAGACCCCTGTATTCCAGTTGCACATCTCTTGATGTATTTTCAAAGAATCCTCATGTTATGAGCATACATTACAGTTAGCCAAGATGTGAGTTTTCCATTTGCACTATATATTTCACATTATATGAATTGGTCAGAGCTATAAATCAATATGATATATATATATATATATATATATATATATATATATATATATATATATATATATATATATATATATATATATATATATATATATATATATATATATATATATATATATATATATATATATATATATATATATATATATATATATATATATATATATATATATATATATATATATATATATATATATATATTACTACTTCACCATAATTTCGGTAAGTTACAACGGTTCATTTTAAAAAAAAAATCTACTTTCTAGCAGCAACTTTTGAATATTTTAAAAAATATATACTTTTTAGACGCAAGCACATAATCAAAGCAGCTTGATAGCTAACGTTAGCATTGTACTAGACTGCCAAATCTTTCCATCTAATGTCTTCATAAGAGACAAAGGAATGCATAAATCATCAAATATACATATTATTCAACAATCTAAACCTTAAATAAGAATAACCTTGTGTAAAATGCACTAATTAACAGGTACTTCTATTAGAC